TTGATTGGGGATATGCCACACTTTCATGAGTGTTTTTCATTCATAGTTAAATGATTTAGTGGAATGGCTCATTCGAACTTTCAAAAGGATGATTGCAAAGTATGTGAACTTTCAATATTCGGATTATAATGGTTATTTGCTGTCTTTTTAGTAGTATATATCATAAAGGTGTAGAGTTTTATTAGTGCTTCACTATGTAAATTCCTATATAGTCATTATCCAATACTATTAATGGAATTAAGCTGACCTTAACAATTGCCACAAGCTATTAATGCTAGGTTGTTGGATTAGTATTTGACGAACATTTGTCCACTTGTCAGAGTAGGTTCTACCAAACACTTAGGCTACATATAAATGGGATAACAATGGCACTACAACTTTCATTATCATCCATCTGTAGAGTACAAAGTGGATGGTTTGGTATTAATCCATTTTCCCAATATTACGGTACGTGATTTATCTAAGGGGCTTTTTACTTAGTAGAAGGTGTTGCAGCAAGTTAAACTAGAAGTTATGAAATTTGCATGACATCTAGTAGGTTGATCCTCCAAAAGCCATAAATGTAGGACTATTATCTGAAAGAATCTACTCCAAACATAAATGCTAAAACACCACTTGATTGAGGAGAAAGTATCCAAGCACCACCAGCTATAAATGATCATCAGAATTCATCCTCACAAAATAAAGAAAACCATCCTCAAGGTAATATTGAGAATGTAAATGCCAAAATAACAAGTTATTAGCAAGTGATATAGGATTCTTAAACTCATTGCAAAACTTTCGAATTTATGGCTCAATTTTTTTAGCTTTACGAACCTCATTAAAAGAAGGTAAATCTTGCTCTACATATTGTAGACACTAAACATCAAGTATAACAACTTCTAATGGCATGGAATCTTTGTTTAAAAAATTTATAAATGTTGGAATAATAGACCATTAGAAATATGAGAAGAGAACAAACAAGGAAGGGGAGCTTAAGAAAGAGCATTAATATTAGCCATAAAACTCCCTGAGCAATAGATAATATCAAGATCATATATTTGAAGCTTCAAAACCCATTAAGCAGTATGACTAACCAAGATCTTCCACTTCAATAATGAAATAACTACAATATGATCACCTTTTAGTAATGTCTAAAAACCATGTAGATATGTATAAAGTTTCTCGAAACCCCAAATTATTGCTAAACACTCCTTCTTTATCATGGAGTAATTCACCTCCACTAGTTGTAATATATAATTAATATATAAAATAAGATGGCACTAACCAAGTACACTCGAGCTCTCTTGCATCAACACACCTTCAAGACTAATATTATAAGCATCTATATGCAAAATAAAAGGTTGAGTGTAATCAAACTAGAAGAGTTGTCAATAACTCTTTGAGATTTGTAAATTCTCACTCACAGTTCACAGACCAAATGAAAGATGACGTTGATGATTTCAAGAATGCTTACAATGGTGTAATGCGATCAGAAAGATGATCAATAAAACAACCAAGATACTGCACTTTTCCTAAGAAGCCTTACACATCATTCACATACTTTGGAGTAAGGAACTTTAGAATAGCTACAAATTTATTAAAATCAACTTGCAAGCCCTCTTGAAAAATATGGTACCCAAAATAAGTTATGTCCTTGGACCTAAACACTCACTTTGACTGCTTCAATTTTAATCCAACTTTTTATAGTTGATCTAACACATTACAAATATCATGAATGTGTTCCGGCCATTGGCACTTGCTAATACCCAGAAGCAAGATCTAATTTAGTGAACCAACGACTTCTCTCTAGATGATTTAAGAGATCAGCAGTGTGAGGAAGGAGGTATACATCCGGGATCATCATTTTGTTTAACAAGCAATAGTCAATACAAAAATAAATACTTCTATCATGCTTTATCATAAGATGAAGTTTATATGCCCAAGGACTCCTCGACTTTCAAATAACACCCTTTTCTAATATCTTTTTGACGTTTACATATAAAATCTTGATCTCTTTTGGTGACCAACAATGAACAAAAACCTTGATTGGACGAGCATCCCCAATTGGAATAGGATGACATGTTGCAATCTTGTCCCTAGATGATAGATCAAATTCAAAGAGATCAACATACTTGAGCTGGTCAACCACTACAACATAAAGATTATCAAAGGTATCAAAAAAGGGAATAAAGGAACAGAATGGAAGTATAGGAAGTAATGAGGAGATAAAAGTGATGGAAGTAAAGGTAAAAGTAAAAGAATAAAAACAAACAAAAGTGAGAGGAATGAAAGAAATATAAAAAAGTATGAGGCAAGGGGGAGAAGCTTTAGTATCACACTTGGCATAATTGCCTTATAACTAATCCATATTAAAGATAATGTCAAAAGCTTAACTTAGCACCACCCGTAATGACTTGAGATTGCCCATATGAACAACTAGGTTTATCTCATCTCGTGCACATATGTATGTATATATATCCTTTGCACATTCCATATAGAATAAAAACTGGCTCTGCCACATAATGTAAATGTAGATGGCAACATGTGGTAATAGGCCAACCAATAAAAAATAAACTCGAGCCTATATAAACCAGTATGGAGAGAATAATAGAAGACCTTTTGATATAAAAATGAGCTTCAAAAGTAAACACTAGATGAATTGGTGCCGAGTGAACCCCTTTATGATACTCCTGAAAGAAAGTATAAGCGATTAAATTTTCCATTCTACTTTAGTCATTTAACCATACCTTCAACCATTTGGAGGAGTCTTACTCATAACCTCCATAAGTTATATTCTGGATTTAAGGTTTACTAGCCCCAAGAATGGCATTCATGCCACTTAACCTTTGCACTTGGTCCAAGTGCTCCACGTGTTTGATCCCATGATCGACACCTAAAGGTACCACCGACATATTAACTTGCTACGCTAAAGCCATACTCATTCACCGTTGTCACACAGTAATCCAACACCACTTACATCATAGTCTTGTCTCTCAAATATTAGGCCATTCGTCTATGAGTGATCATCCTAAATCCACTCCTTAGCATCTTTAGGATGCTTGTAGACATGGGGAATAACCTTCCCCAATATCCTTTTTCAATCCCCACTAAGTCTCTTTTTGTCCATAGTCATGTTCACAAACACTACCATTAGGTCAAACTCCATAGGCTCGACCACTAAGTCCCATTGTCCTTTAGGACTTCCTCACCATGTGGTTATATCCTTGATCAATATACTAGAGGACTTTTTCTCTTTCTTTCCACAGTTCAGGACTTTGTCGATAAATGTGACCAACTTCATTATACACTCAACAGCGAACATCACGGCCATGACTATGTCCTTACCCTTGTCCTTGAACTTAGGCAGCAACAGCATCAACCTCTATTGGAACAAAACCATCTTCTACAAGAAGTATAGTTGAAGGATGTGCAATGAGAAGTGGAAGATATAATATTTCATAATGTTGTATTAAGCAAAGAGCATCGTTAAGGGTGGGTAAAACAAATGCATACATAAGTACTACAAAATCTTGACGAAATGCTGGCCACAACATTCCCAACTTGATTTTCTCGGACATATTAGGCTTTATATGAAGCAAGAGGCTTTGGAAACGAATACCAAATTGCATTATGAAAGCAGATGGCTTTTGACGAAGACGATGCAATTATTGAAAGGCATCATCACAATCATCAGCATGTTTAAATGTGTGTTTAAAGATATCCAAGAGAATGCTTCAATCCTCATGAGTGGTTGTGCTCAAACTATTGTACCATTGTAGTGTTGTCCCTTAGAGACATGTGGGATATTCATGCAAATGCCGAACATCATCCCAAGAATGATATGTGGCAATCACTGTGAAGTGATTGAACCAATAATACACAACATCCCCAAAATTCATACGGAAAAACTTTAGCTAGACTCAAGGATTGAGAGCAAGAGTAGAAAAAGCTATACTAATCACCATGAATGCCACCATCAATTGAGTTTAATTGTTCAATTGTAACCACATAGCATTGAGCAATTGCACAAATTGCTACTCCAAAGTCAGAGGAGGAGGAGGATGTTACTTTGCCATGAAAATGAATGAAAAGGAAAAAAATAAAATGGAAGAAATTGAAAAAGTTACAAGGAAAGGGAGATTTAGACAATGTAAAAGCTAAATAAAAAAAGCTAGAAGAAAAGGGAGATTTAAACAATGCAAAAGCTAGATGTAAAATAGAATCTCAAATCTAAGCACTCTTTAGAGACAATTAAAACTGCCCCTATCTCCACTAATATGAATGTATAGAATATGGAAATAGAATATAAAAATGTGCATATCAATTAGCCCAAAAACTCTAGTTTATATATACGAGCAAGTGGTCTCAATTGAAACCAATCTAACAACTACCAAAATCCTACCATAGGTTAATATTAGTATATGGCATTATAGCCGTACACTTAAACCTCACATTTTATAATAATCTTATGAATAAAATTATAACAAAAATAATAATAAAATATTTAAAGTTTATAAACACAAAAACAATAAATCAATATCCGGTTTATAAAAATATCTAGAAGATAAAAGAAGTGTTGGATAAAACAAAAGCAAGAGCCTGAAAGACATCATGGCAAAAGAGATATCTCACACCCCAAAGTTGGGAGGCAGGTACGCAGCCTCTAGGATCCTAATTAACTCCTCCATTATCAACTACAAAAAGAGTTTCAACTTCAAGTAAATTGCAATATACATTTGGAAGATTTGGTCCAAAGGCCCACACTCTGTTTGGGAGTTCTTCAAGAGAAACGTCCACATTAAGCTGCAGGATAGTGGAGGTGATTTCAAGTGATACTGAAAAGGCCACCCTTGATTTTTGGGTTGAAGGCTTTGTTCATGGCTAGAAGGACAAGAAAAATATAACCTAGAAGCACACACTACCTTGGAAGATAAGTATATACATCTATAGCTAGAGGAATTGCAAGAACTTCATTCTGAAAGTTGAAATATAATGAGCTGGACATACTCCTCCACCTCTTATTCAAACCCGATATTCCATGAAAATCCTAATCCAAAAATAAACAGTATTTGTGAAGTTCAGGTCCATGCACTCACGTATCTTATTAAATGTTCAAACGAATGTCCTTGCCACCTTGGAGCTTCCTCATGTTCCAATAGAGCCCCTCCTTGACGCCCTCAAGGAAAGCATTGGTAGACTCGAGCGTGCACGCAGTGGGGACCGGCCACGACGAGAGGTGGCACACGAGCGCGTCACCACAGCCGAGCTGGAGCCTCTCTCGCCCATCAAACGAAACCCAGGCATCGCCGCGGCTCTTCTCGGGCACCTGGACTCGTAGCGTTACGTGCTCGGGGAGGATAAGCGGCCGAAACGAGAGGGAATGCGGGCAAATTGGAGTGAAAAGCATTGCCGCAACCTGGAGAACAAACGCAAAGAATCAAAAGGAAAACCTACCATGAATCAAAACTTTCAAGTTACCTGTGGATGCACCATCGATCCTCCTGCTGATAACGAGTAGGCTGTGCTTCCCGATGGCGTGGAGAGGATGAGGCCGTCGCCCTGTACGTTTGTGACGAAGATGTTGTCGCAGTAGCACTCGAGGTTGGTTAAGAAGGAGGACATCCCCCTGTCGATGGCGACCTCGTTGAGGACGATGTAAACTTCCTCTCCGGCTTGTTTCTTCCTGCTCTTGGAGCTGGAGCTGTGGCGAATGATCCGGCAGTGCAAGCGGTGGCGGATGGTGATGTATGCGGGGCCTTTCATCACCGAGAGGAGGCATTCTCTGTAGCTTTCACTCTCTTTTTTTGTTGGTACCGGAGGATAGAACAGTCAAGGAGCTTCTCGATGAAAACTGGAACGAAAAAATGGTGTAGGATACGAAACGGAGTCATAAAGCCGAGCGAGCCCATTGCAAACGAGACCACCGGCGGGACCGGGCCTCTAAACAACGACGCAGCCTGCAAAAGAGATGGAGGTTGGATCATATGTAATGTTTCAGAAAATCATTCGCTACCCAAAGCACGGTGCCATCTCCGCCGAGGGTGACGATGAGGTCGATTTTGTTGTGAAGAAAGCACAGCTCCTCGTCTACAAAAGTTGCATGAAAAGAAAACGAAGAACACGATTTTTTACCACTGTCCCACGTATGAAGGAAAGTCATGGACAAGTCGTCTGCAAGCATCTCTCTCCTGACGCGGGGTTCTACGTAGATTGACAAGCTCACGCTGTGCAGCCACCTGATAAAATAGCATACATTCAATCAGAGAAGGAACGAGAGAGATGGAAGAGACTCACACTATCATTTCCTTGCAGAGATCGTGAACTCGTTTGCAGTTTGGTTTTGTTAGGATGCAAACGCATTGAGGGGGCGAATCCCACACAAGAATTATCTGCAATCACGAGAAAAGAAACATTAAAATCAGATTTTGCACACATTTTGCAATGCAAAAACCTGTTTGTTTTTGCAAGTCGGAGTGCTGATGTTGCCGCTCTCAAACGTGACAACGTCTTGCTGGTATTGCGTGCTTTTGTTCCCCTCGCTAATCCACTCGAGTCTGAAAGACACCTGCACCAAAGGATAAGAAAAAAAACTTCCATTTATCATCGCTAGATCGATTTTCCTCTATAGCAACGAATGAATTTACACTCACCTTACCATAACTTGGAGGCTCCAGATGCTGGACAACAGTCCGATAGTCGTATGAATAGCTGCTGGCCGGAATGCTCTTGCTCCTCAAGGCTTTCTGGCTGTAGAGACCTTTCCTAAGTGAAGGAGCGGCGGCTGCTACAACTTCCACCGGCTGGAGTACTCCCACTCCCGGTTGGATCACCGCAGGAATCACTGCTCCTCCCGGCTGGACGAGTTGGTGCGACTCGGGACGGTAAGTTACGATCCTCTCTTGTCTTACAACTTGGCCTCCCACGGATTCTGGGAAAGATCATACATGCATGCCAGAGGATGAAACGAATGAACCTTGTGCAAGACAATACCTTGGACAACCCTTTCGGTGCGATGGATTTGCAAGTTTTGGAGATCCTCGTACTTCTTCTTCCATTTCTCGGCTTCTTCCTCGGCATGGACTTTGCTGTCGATAACTTGCTGCAGTGCTCGTGCAGCAGCTGGAAAAAGGAAAGAAGAAAACAAAAAAAAGTTCTAAGAAAGTGAGATCTACAGAGACTCACTTTGGAGGACCTCAGAAACCTTGACGAGCTGAGCGTTGGTATCGTGAATGGCTGCGCTAGTCTCAGCGGACCGCTCTACCTCTTGCTCGGTGGTCACAAATGTGGGCGCAATTTGTTCCTCCACGCGCCCCACCGAGCCTGGGACGCCGCCACCCTCTGGCACAAACTTCAGCGAAGAAAAATATCAGCACACAAACGATCCAACAAAACCCCATCGCCTCACCTGCGGCCACAAAATGCGTTGCCGTCTCCATTCAAACTGTTTTAGGGCTTATGTGGAAATATAAATTGGTTTGTTGGTAAAGTTTAATATTAATAATTTTGTTTATCAGTAATATAAATTGTGTTTACTATCCATGAGTAAATTTTGAAGAGGATTACCCCATGAATCGATTTTATTAAGACTTCATTCTCACCAAGAGTTGAGACATATATGCTTTAGGTGGCTTTAAGGTTTTATCTTTCTCTTGGTTCAATCAGATATGATAGGAAGATCTCTAAGCTTTGGCCACTAATTTTTAATTCCTTTTTTATGATGTTTATAACACAGTCCTTGGAGAGCACTCTCCATATATACAACTCTTGGCATACAAAATTAGAGCAATCTTAATAGGAATTTAATAATATTTCTAGCCACTAGAGTCTAACCTAGAGCTTTTGCGAGAAACGCATTTGCATTACATATAGAACTACATGGTCCTTTACATAATGAATGTGGTTACCTTAAACTTTATGATCATAATGTATGTGAGATATTTTCATGCAAGATCATTATGTTCCATAACACAATGCTTATCATTTAGTTTGTCAAAAGTTTTTTTGCATCAACAGTGCTCCAACACTTTCAATCTAAACCAACATAGTTCAACTTGAGAACTAGGATCTTACTAGATTAATTTATTAAAGAATATTCTATATAATGTTTCTAAAATTATATTTTTTAAAAAATATTTATCTAATCAATTATTAAGTTAAAATACAAAATTATATTTTTAAATAAATTATATTAGGTTTTATATATCTTCATTAGTAAAGTCCTATTAGAAAATGAATATAATTAAAAAATCTTTAATCTATAACAATACTAGTATATCAAGTATATCTTATATTGTTGGGTTTGTAAAAATATATATGTATATACATGTATTACCCTAGCTAGGTAACACATAAATTATAGTACTATAGCACATCTATGTGGGATTGATAAGTAGGGTTTAAACTCTAATTAATATACCTATTTTTATATTCTAGGCACTCACATTAGTAGAGGTGAGGTGTATTGCAATTTTTCCTTAAAGGGCAAAGTTTTTTAGCAATGCTTTGCTCTAGTGTTCAGGATTGTGCTTTTTTTTTCTTATTTCTTATTTCTTAATTCTCTTTTAAATTTAGATTTGTATTGGCTTTTTGTAAGATCTAGAATTTTAATTATTATTGTGCTTAGATATACTCTTTCTTTTTATCTTCATTGCATTCTCTTCTTTTACCATGCCATGCCATCATTGATCATAGAGTATATCACTTGAAGCTGTTAATGTTACTCCATTGGATTGAGTTTTTAATGTTGTGGGGTGTGATTATATTGGTGTTGCACCCATCCTTAGTTTGTTGTTATTTTCAACTTTCATGGGATATATATTACACAGTTGTAAGCAATTAAAGAGAATGAGTTAAAAGAAAATTCGAAAAAGCTAATGAATAATAATGCACCTCCTTTTTTAATCGGTTAAGAGTTTTAAGATATTTGGGGTTAAATGTTTTTAGGTTTGAGTAGTATTGAGCTGGATGACTTCTTGAAAAATCTAAATTTAAGAACTTACAATAGTTAATCCTATTCTCGGTGTTATACCATCTCCTATTAATATAGAGCATAATCATGACATCAATTATCAAGTTTAAAGGAAGATAATATTTGTAAATTCAAATGGATTTTGGATTATGATGAGGAACTTGATTATTATGGAGATAGCTTTGAAGATGAATTGGAGATTCCACAAAGTAGGTGTAAATCTTTTAATTTGCCATTTAATCTTTTCTTCTTACTTTCTATTCTTTCCCAATCTTTTTTTGTTCCTAGTGTTTCTTCTTCATTTGCAATATTTCCTTCTCTTAACACATTGATCATTTTTTTAATTCATAATTTAGTGTTGAGTTAAGTGTTTTCTATCTTTTTCATATTAATCTAAATGTTTATGTGAAGTTAAGAATCTTGCCTTTGTTTCTTTTGCAGAGTCTTTGATCAATTGTAATATTGAATATTCCCCAATTCCAAGGGTTAAGTCATTTTAGCCAAAGTTTTAGGTTGAGTGGGTGTCCTTAATTGTGAATATTGTTGAAAGCTTTTATTTTATCATTACTACTAAAGGGTTTATATATTCTCTTGAGAGTGTAGATTTTGTGGAGTGAGGTTAAACATAAATGGTGGAATGAAGATAACCATAGTGAGTTTGAATGAAACTAGTGCTTTAGAATTTTTTTTCCTTAAAAGAAGGGATAAAGAAGATGTGGAAGACATATAAAGTGAGTCTAATTTCCTATATATAGTGTTAAATAAGGATAAAGGTCATGAATTTGAGATAACATAGGTTTTTGATATTAATTGAAGGGAAGATGTAGAGGCAAGTTCTACTTATAGCCGTGAGTGCAACTTAATAGTGGTTTTAAAGGATTATTGATGGGCAAATTTATACATAAGACATAATTTATTACAATGGCATTTCATGGATTATAGTGGTTCTTAAAGGCCTTTATTTTGGTTCAAAATTATGGTTTCGAGGTTGGTTTAAATATTTAATAGTTATACACGAAGTTCCAATTAGTTCATCAAGATTCCATAATCAATTAATGTTTATCCCATGGTTTTGGGTTTTATTTTAGTCATGATTATGAACAACTTTTTTGGTGGTTTTGTGGGAGTTTCAGATTCTTATAGTAGTCTATAATTGCTCAGTAGAAATTTTAAATGTTCCACCTCACTTATTGTCATCACCTTTTTATCTTCTAGAGGGGAGGATGGTGTAAAGTTTGTAAGTATATATATGTATATACATGTATTATCTTGGCTAGATAATACATAAATTATAGTACTATAGCATATGGACTATCTATTTAGGATTGAATTTGGTCCATCCATTCTTGTATATAATTAAGGGTCTAAACCCCAATTGATATACTTATTCCTATTATAACATTAATTAAAATATTATTTTTTAAAGAAAAATAAATATTAAGCTTAGCACAATAAATTATTTTATTCATTAATGCTAAATTGAATTAGAGCATGAATAATTGCAGTAAATAAGATAAATTAAAATTACTAAGACTCACCTTATTAATATTATAGTGGGAAGTTGTGCCATACATCATAAGAACACCTTTTATTTGTTAAAGATTCAAGGATTGTGCATAAAATGTTGGTAAAACACAATCTAAATACTTCAATCGTCATCTTATCCATAATATATAGCCACCATCCCAAAATTCTCAATTCATAATTGGGCATCCTTTATGGGTAGCCTAGAAAATTGTATTAGACACAAAAATAAACTGTATCTTCTAAGCATAAATGAGGCATTTTTTTGCAACTAAGTGTTGCAATCCTTAGTTTTGAGTCAATTGTGCAAACACCAATACTAACTGTTGCTCAAGCCCATTAGGAGCCTAATCCTTGCCACCACCTTCTATGTAAAGAAATCACGAACAAATAATTATTATCAACAAAAAATATTAATGAGAGGATCTTAAGAATAGTGGTAAACAAGATGAATTAGGATTACCAAGACTTATATTTATATATAGATATTAGACAGTCCAAGTATAGCCACTAAAATTTGTAAACAACCAAAGGGAATAACTCGAAAGATGGACCTATAAAAATTTAAATATAGAAGGAAAAGGCTCATAAATAAGAGTGCACCCATTTTTCCCACCTCGAGTACAATAGTCTACCATCCAAGTGATGACACAAAATGACTATTGTATGTTGTTAAAAACCTCAATGTCAAGTAGACTATCTTTGTGGATAGACTTGACTTTGAGAGCAGCAGCATCAGTCCGTGTCTTACATACATCCCATATTAATATTGATTTAGGTGACTTTCCAGGAAGTTTAAATTTAAAAGTTTACATTTGGTATTAAAGAGGTTTTGGGTTTGATTTTATTGATTGACTTAGAAAGTTATTAGAAAAACATTGAAAGAAGTCAAACTTCTTATATAAGCAGCAGACTATAGCTATGATCATCTTTAGTGGCCTACACCAAAACCTAGAAAAATTGACACTTTTTTTATGTTTGCTCAAAAACATTATTTTCAAACACATAAACATTACTTTTCAATTGCCAAGATTGAAAACTGACAGTTGCCAATGAGAGTAACAAGCCTTCTCAAAGCAAAGCACATGTAGTAGTGATGGATTGCAAGGCACTTCTTGGTGGTGGGTGATTTGTGGTAGTCTCCCTCAATCAATCAAGGTTTTAGCCTAAGAGCAAAGAAATCCTAGAAGTACCTTTTGTCCCTCCACACATTCTTCTTCTTTGTGTTGATCTTTTTTCTTTTCTTCTTGTGTTTGTACAAGATTAGGTATCAAATGTTGGAACCGTGATTTCCCCATTATGTACCTTGAACAGAATTGTTACCTTGCCAGCAGCATCCCACCCCAACAAGAACTAACTTGTAAGGATTAGTCCATCACTGACAAGAAGACCAAGAAGCATGCAATCAAAAGATACAGCCATTGGACCAGGAAGAAACCACAACTTACCTCTCTAAACTATTTATTTGATTTTAGTGTCACAGCTGCTTCCATCTCTGTTTTTTTATGGCTTTCTTCTTGGCATTCTTTCTAGATTTCTCATCTAACGAGACTTTGTAGGATTTAATATGAAGGTTTATTACAAGAATGTAGAGTTCATTGTGTGCCAAGAGAAACTAAGATTGCTTCGAAAGCATTACTTTAGCAGCATTGATGCTCTAGTACTATTTAGATTTTTTGATTATGATCTACAAGATGTGGTCTAGATCTATGTCGTGGTAACAAAGTCCAAAACATAAACGCCTTCTTTGAACATTCTAATTAAGAAATTACCATTAAACATCAAGGTTAATGATTATATTGCTAAAATATACTTAGATATTTTAAGTATATTCCCTACAAAAAATATGTATGAAAGACATTTGAGAAATGAGACCGGAGACAATGGCGTGGCTTATATCGGCTCCATCATCGGTCTCATTGTCAACACAGAGCTCCGCGACAGTTACTCCTATCTTCTCTCCCCACATGGTCTCCGAAAACCACCATCAACTGGATCGGCGCGTCGACATTCAACCAGCGGCTCTCTCGCGCGCCAAACTTCGGCCGAGAGCGTCGCCGAGATCTTCCGCGGCGTGCCTTTCAAGTGGGTCCGCCGGGTCGTCGAGAGCAGCAGCGGCATATCTCAGAAGCGATCTTTCACTCTGGTCGTGGCATGCACACTCTCGTCCCCGACTACCTGGAGCACGTCATAGAGCGTCCAGCGTAAGAACCAGAAGAAAAAGCTCTTTACCTATTTCTGTGCCTTTCGACTAATCCGTGCCTTTCGACCACCCCACCACCTATGGGGGAGCTCAAGCGCAGGATCAAGGATGATCTCCTGGGATTCATGGACGGCGAGGCTTACTTCCGGAAGATCGGTCGAGCATTGAAGCGGGGATATGTCCTCTACGGCCCGGCCCGGTCGTTGCTCATCGCTGCCATAGCTCACTTCACCAGTTACGACGTCTACGCACCGACGTCAAGAACAACTTGAAGCTAAGCACCACCGATCGAGGACATCGACTGCTCGCTCAACTTGAAGAAGCGCCTGGAGCCCGAGGAGAAGAAAAAGAGCAAAGAGAAGGATGAAAACGAGGATGATGAAGACGAGGAGAAAAGCAAAGTTACCTTGTCGGGCCTTCTCAACTTCACCGATGACCTCTGGTCGTCCACCGGCAGCGAGCGGATCCTCATCGTCACCCCGAATCACATCGAGGAACTCGATCCGGCACTCTGGGAGCATGGATATGCACATCCACCTCTCCTACTGCGACTCCGCTTGACGACCACCATCTAACTCCAAGGATCGAGGAGCTTATCAGGTCGCGCCGGCTGAGATCGCAGAGCTTCTGATCCAGAACAGGAGCATCGTGACGGCTGCGCTAGATTGCAGCTCTCAGGAACTCCAAGGCCAAGAAGGCGGCCACAGAGGAAAATATCCCAGACACCACAACTTTAGTAGAAACGTGAAATCTATCTGATTAAACTTAGATGGACGTACCATGCAATGCTCGAAGCCTTTCTCATACGAATGTCAGTCTCCTCCTCCGGAAGTTCTAGCTTGAAGTTCCTTGATTAGCTTCTCGAGCGCAGCATCCGGTTTGTTCTTGTACTGGATGAAAACTTCGGCTACGTCAGCAGGAGTAATCTGTACTGCTCCCAGGAGCTCTTCAATCTCCACGAACAGCTCGTGATCGTCGAGGAGGAGGTACGTTGACGCCAAGACTTTGAACGCTTGGAAGGAGCAGTACGTCATCAGAATGTGGAAGTCCATGCGGCCAGAGCGAAGCAGCGCGGGGTCGAGTTGGTCGATGTGATTTGTCGTAAAGATGAGAATCCTCTCGTCCCCGATTGACGACCAAAGCCCGTCGGTGAAGTTGAGAACTCCAGAAAGAGTGACCCTGCTTCTCTCCCTGTCGGCCTTCTCCTTCTTCTTTCTCTGATCGGCACTTGCGGCGAGTTCTTCTTCTGCGGCGCTCTCCACATCTTTCGGTAGCTGTCCACGGTTCTGTAGCTCCAGCGAGCAGTCTATATCCTCGATCACGATCACCGACTTATTCTTGACGTTCATAAGCAACCTTCTCAGCTCCGCATTACTCTTCACTTCCGTCAGCTCCAAATCGTAGACATCGTAGTCGGTGAAGTTTGCTATAGCAGCGATGAGCGAGGACTTCCCGGTCCCAGGCGGGCCATATAGCAAGTAACCCCGCTTCCATGCCCTCCCCACTCTGTCGTAGAAGCTCTGTCCAACTTTGAAGGCATTGAGATCATCCATGATCTTCCGCTTGAGACCATCGTCAATAGCCATGCTCTTGAAAGTCGCGGGATGCTTGAAAGGGACATACTCCCAGGGCCTCCTTCCATCACTTTGAGCGTTCGTGTAGAGCTTCCTGGCCCTGTTCTGGCGATCCAGCTCTTTAGCATTCTCGGCAATGTGATCCAAGTAGGCCGGTAGCAAACTTTGTCGATAGCGTCGGTGGAGCGTGAGAGTGAAGTACCGCTTCTCGTCAGACCTACTCTGGCCCCAATAAGCTGGAGAACTTCCTTTCGGCTGGAGAGGCTTGACGCGATGCACCCACCAGAACTGGACTCCCTGGAATGTATCGACGATTTGCTCGTTGGTAGCCGGGCGAAAGCTCGGCTTCACCGCGCCTTTCGCTTTGCTGATGGTGAGCCTTCGCGCGGAAGCGTACTGATCGGCTGTGATGCTCGCGATATGCAGCTTCACCGCATCATAAATCTCATTGCTGTGGTTGTCGTCCAGCTCGTAGACATCCACTCTGATGTAGAAAGACACCCAAAGCAGTAGCTTTCGGACCCATTCCTGTAGCACGTACCAAATCTCTCGAGGAAGAATCGCTTGCAGGAATGCCAGCAGGCCCAGAATCGATCCCAAGTAAGCGACTTCTGAGCTGCCCCTCATGATCCCTCTCTTGAGCTCGGACGAGAAGCGCGGCATCCCCATCGAGCATGAGCCAGGAAGGAAACTGAAAGACGGAAAAGCCCCGTGAAAGTGACACAGTACGAGTGGAGTACCTAGGCAATTGAAAAGACTCGCGTTTTAGAACCCCAAGAACATAGGTAACATCATAAATGAAATACCAGGCACCACCTACCTGGAAAGTCTTGAGCTGAGTGCCTGCCTCCACTGCAAATTCTCGAAATCCTCACCGCGTCACTCCTCCTCGATCCAACTTCTCGTCTTCCTCACTGTCGTTGTTCTTGTCTTCCTCGACCGCCACCGGCGCTAGCGACGCGAAGTGCTTGGTGTTCACTTCCTGGACGACGATCTTCCCCGTCCTGGGATACATGGTCATGATCCGGAACGTCGAGTCGAGCCGGGTGCTCCTCCTGTACTCCTTGGGTAGAAAAGCCAAGTGCCCGGCAAGAGCTACGCAATAGCCGTTCTTGGCATGCGCCACCACCGTGCCTTTGATCCACACCACCACGTCCAGCCGCTGCAAGCTCCTCTTGTAGAACCGGAAGAGCTTCGACCAAGTCATGGCAGTCCCCTCGGCCTCGCCGACGATGAGCTCGTTGTTGTCGGCTCTCACGTTGAGAATGTAGAACTTGGAGTGGACGTTGGCGGTCTTCCTCATGCTCCGGGGCATGAACGCCACGAATCCGGCGATGGAAACCGCGAATCCGCCCCTCACGACGTTGAGAATGCTGCCATCCACCTGTGTTTTCATCTGCCAGGCCTTCTTACACTCGAGCCATAGCTGCTTCTTCTTGAGCTGCCGGTCCAGCGGCTTCATGGTGAAGTTCTCCGACCACTCCGAGTCCTCGCCCGAGAGGCGATACGGCTTGCTCGGCCCAACGCCGACGAGCGGTGCCAGCGCGCCCCGGGCCTGGTTCCCCTTGGCCGAGATTCTCTGGAAAACTTTCCTGGCGTGAGAATCTAGCAGCGCAGCGCACGTACCATGATAATCTCCTCCAGATTGTCGCGGAGGACGCTCGTCGCTCGAAATTCCCGGCATTGCCCTGGATCGCGAGAAGATGAGCATCGGCAGAGCGGCGAATTGCGAAACCTCACACACCTGCATTGGGAGATCGCTTGGGAAGGAGCAGGAGCTCCCGGATCGCGCGAAGCCGCGTCGTCCTCGCCAGCGCCATCGCCTAAACCCTAGCTAACCATAAACCCTAAATTTCGTGACTATGGCTTGGATCACTTCTTCCTTCTGCCGCCCGCACGCTTCGATCGCTGTGGCGCGCGCGAAATCCTCGAGTCGGGAATTGTCTCGGCCGGGCGCCATGAAATGCAAGGCGGCCTGAAGCGCCAGGAACGATCCCGGCGAGACCTCGCGGCACGATTCTAGAAATTCTTCCTCTGGAATTTCCCTGTCGAGAGATCTCATATACGCGTGGAAATGCGAGGCTCGCAGCCATCCCCTCTCTCGCCGGCTCAATCCAGCCAGCGATTTCTCCCAGTTCTCCGTGAATTCCAGTTCTGGGTTCTCGCGCTCCAGCCTTTGCTCGAATTCACACCTCGCGCAGTGGCAGGGGAACGGGAGGATCGATCTGCGCTTGCGGTAGGGCTGTAACGCGATCGCGCTCCAGTACGCCTCAAGGAGCTCGCTCCCGGATTCCAGATCGCGAGCGGCGTACGCGTAGAAGGCATTGCCGATCTTCCGCGATGAGAGATTGGCCTCGCAGCACGAGTGATTCACAAAGCTATGGAAGGGCCAGAGACCAAAGAAGTTCCTCCCCCAGAAATCATAGCCCTCGTCCCAAGCTGGCATTGCCGAATCCTCGCCTTGATCGAATCCTCCTAGCTCCTCGCCTCGATTGAATCCTCCTCCCAGCTCGCAAGAGCTCGAATTTGGGGCAAAGATGCCCATGGGCGGCACTTCCATCTCCAGCGAGCGAGCAGTATACATAGAACTTACTTGCGCCGCAGCGCGCGAGCTCGATTTGCATCGCTCCACGACCCTGCGCAATAGCTTTTCTTTCATCCTCACAAAATCTGGATCAATCTCATCCTCCTGGAATTCCATGACCGCGGTGTTCACGAAGAGCAAATCGCCAGCGCCGGCATTTGCAGTGAGAAACACACCCCGCCCTCTTCCATCCTCGGTCTTGCGAATTTCCACCGGGCCGAGGTACTCCGCGGCGTCCCTGGGAGGAATCTTATCCAAGTAGTAGTCGGAGAGATCGTGGCTCCCTCGCTCGCTTTGATCCTTGAGGAGCCGAGCGCGATCTAGCAATCCGGGAGGAGCTCCACCGGGATCCTTCTCGATCAGCGCGAGCGCTGCTGTGTATTGATGATCGCTCCACAATGCCGCAGCCCGGGATTCTATCGATGGCGAAGAAGCCGCATGGAAGAGCCTGGAAATCCATGCACGCGTCACTGGCATAGGCAAAACCCTAAATCTCGTGTAAAACCCTCGTGATTGATAGAAAACAACGTATTTATATACGTAATGAAAGAAGAGAATTCATTTATATCTAAGCAAAGCCACATTTGTAGTCTATATATTTGTAGGTAGTCATGCAATGGACGATGATGAAAGCGCAAAACTTCAAATGGATCGACCGGTCCCCACGGCAATCACTCAGCCCTGGAATTCGCCACCACACAAACTTTAGATCCCGAGAATAAGAATCGAGAATCCAAGCAAAGAAGCCACGAATCGAGAAAAGAGAGAAAAAAAGGTTTGGCTACCTTGTTCGCGATGTTGTTCGACAGCCAGTCGAGCCCTTCGTAGAGACCCTCTCCGGAGGTAGCACAAGTGCTCTGGATGTACCTATGGAATCCAAAAACCAAAGCGTTTAGATCTTAGAGAGATCTCAAAAGAGGGAAGAGATTTGCTTACCAGTGACGCTGGCGGAGGGAATGCAAGCCGAGCTTGTCGGTGATCTCGGCAGCGTTCATGGCGTTGGGAAGATCTTGCTTGTTCGCGAATACCAACAGCACCGCATCTCTCAGCTCGTCCTGGAAGGAGCAAATCTCATCGTGAGAACCCCACAAAAGAGCAAAGCTTTCAGACCTCGTTGAGCATCCGGTGGAGCTCGTCCCTGGCTTCCACAACACGGTCTCTGTCGTTGCTATCAACCACGAAGATCAGACCTTGCGTGTTCTGGAAATAGTGTCTCCACAAGGGTCGGATCTGCGCTCCCAGAACAAAGAATTGTCAGAAAGAAGAAAAAAGACACAAAGATGAAGAAAAAAAGAGAGAGATCCCGACCTTGTCCTGACCGCCAACATCCCACACGGTGAAGCTGATGTTCTTGTACTCGACCGTCTCAACATTAAATCCTGCAAAAGAGCGAGCACAAAATTGGTCAAGATCTAGAACCCGACAACCCAGATCGACCAGATCCCGATCGAAATACGCGCTTACCGATGGTCGGGATGGTCGTCACGATCTCGCCCAGCTTGAGCTTGTAGAGAATGGTGGTCTTACCAGCTGCATCGAGCCCCACCATGAGGATTCGCATCTCCTTCTTCGCGAAGAGGCGCTGGAAGAGCTTCGTGAAGGTGAGCCCCATGGCTGCTCGTCGATCCGCTCAGGCGCCCGGAGAGACTCCCAGCCAAGAAAGAAGAAGCACAAAAACCCTAGGACGCAAATGAGGCAACGAAAGCTCTGTCGTTCGATCCCCGAGCCCTCCCAGCCGTCGGATCTGGGCCCAAAACACGTTTATAGACTCCTGCCGACCGTTAGATTTTTATAAAGCTCGCATGTAGTCTAGTGCCATCCCAGGAACTGGTTGAGAAGCACGACTAAACCAAGCGACAGTGGATAGAGAAGAAACGCTCCAAACGCCATGAAGAGTGGAATCGTCGTGAAAAGCCCACCCACGCATCCCATCGCCATGGTTGCTAGAGCCATGATCAAAACTTCCGCCGAGAAATCCCACACCAGGCCTCGAGCAGCCACGATCGCCAGGAACAGCCCCAAGCAAAGCGTGTTATTGAGCACAACGGAGCCATAGAGCTGTGTGAAAGACAAGAACAAAAGCGTAAGTTCAAGCGAGCTTCTACAGAGATTTCCAGAGTACCTGAGAGTAAGTTACCGAGATTCCACGCTTCTGCTTCTTCGAAGCAAAAGTGATGGAAGAGATCACCTCGCTGGAGCTCGTCGCGATCGGTGTCACCACGAAGGAGACGAAGAAGGCCGGGATGTGAGAGGCTCTGGAGAAATCGTCGATGGTGTCCACCAGAGGAGCAGCAAAGATGCACGCCAGTGCCATCCCTCCCAGCAAGCACGCCGTGGCTGTCACTAGGATTCCTCCGAGAGTACTCGGCGGTGGTTCCTCCACGACGTCCACTTCTTGTATAGTAGTAGTAACACCATTGGGATCTTCAGTATCTTCGAGAGCGTGAACTTCTTCGTCCTCTAAAAGAGCATATAAAGAGGACTGAGCTTCCTGTACGAAGAAGGAATAAATGAAAAGAATCGCGGACCAACTGTGAAAGTAACGCTACATACCTTTGCAATCTCTGCCCAGTGTCCAGAGGTGGTACGATCCCCCTTAAAGGAACGATGCTTCACAAACTCGAGTCCGAGCTTGGAACTGTTGAGCCAGTTTGCCATCCCTTCTTCAAACTCGACCAAGGAAAGCTTGCCGTCCCTCTCGTGATCAAACTCTTCCATCCAGATCTTCGCTTCCAGTCCTTCGGGGATATTGCTGTCATGAGTCAGGCCAATGGTTTTTATAAAGTTTTTCAGCTCCCTCTCTGAAAGGAGCCCGTCACCGTTCTGGTCGAAGAAATGAAACAGCCTGTACGAAACCAACAACAAACAGTCGTTTTAGTCTAGAAAATGTCAAACACGACAAGCAACGAACCTTCGAAGGACTTCGTAATTCAGTAACTTCTCCCCGTTCAGCAAAAGATCTCCCCACCGTTTCTGACGAGAATAAATGTGAGCTCGGTGTAGAGCATGAGATCTTCTGTAGCGATGCCTGTGCCAGTCTACCATTACTTGTTGGATCCATGGAGTCATCACCTATGAAAGAGAAAAACATATCACCACACTGCCGCAGCAAAGTTACCTGGTACACGCAGTACGCTACGAAGCCGAGAAAAGCCATGACGCTGCCAATGATCACAAAAACTCTACTCAGCGCAGGCGCCCCGAGAATTTGCGGAAGCTGGACGACGATGCATGGTAATACACTCAAGACTAATATCCACGCTACGTAAGTTGTCTGTTTCGTCAGAGTGACTCCAGTCTCTGCAAAGTAATCCGAAGCTAAGCAAAAATAAAATCTGAAAGAGACAAAGAACAGTACCAGTGAGATGGAATCCTTTGGTGAGAGTTTTCTCTCTCGCGTACTTGTGACCATTTATCTCGTAGAGATCGCAGCGCCCGACGATCAGCGCAGTCCCCCAGAGCATTGTAAGCAGAAGAACAGTAGAACCCGCTAGAACACCCATGCCGATCATCACCTGGGACTGGGCCGTTTCCTTGTCTCCAAAGATCCCAGAAACTATCAACCAAGAACTATCAAACGACCAAAGAGAAAGAAGAAAGTGGAAGGAAAAGACCTGGAACTCTTACCGAGAATCACCGCTGCGTCTGGAATGGTACAAATGATTGGGAGGCAAAGGCCACCGACGATCCCCGGATGCGCGATCTCCAGCAGCAGCTCGCTGCCATTGAGGAGGAGCTGCGCGGCCTTGACGAACGCGTAGCTGTAGACGATGAGCAAGAAGACGCTGCCTCCCAGCTTTTCGGAGCACGGGAAAATCCCATAGCTCTCCTGGCACGCCTTGCCCTCGCGGCGGAGGAGAGAAAGAAGATCGGCGGTCTCTACCTGCATTGGACGCTCCGCGGAGGGACGATCATGGGAGCTCGAAACCCTAGCGAGTTCTTGCGCGCAACAAACCAGCAAAAGCAACACCACAGGCGCTCGCCACATTTTCCCTTCCAAATGGCCAACCGAAAGGGCAAAGACAAGGAAGTCCACGTGCTTTACACGTTGGCAGAGACGTGGCTTGCGTGGCAAGACAGATTTGCGCCACGCAAAGTCAATGGCTGACACGTCGGCACAACAACGACACGTGTAGAGCTACGTGTACAGGGGTTTTAGGGTTCTTATGGCGGTGAGCAACCGGGTGCTGCGCAATCGGCCCAAGGCGCGCTACATGAGAGCGTGCAAGCTATATGTAAATGGTCCAGTACTCGCTTCTTCGCTACAGCTCCATTCTCTCTCTTTGTTTCCGGCATTGCAGGCCTCGCGTGGGGAGTCGATGATCTATCGCTGCGCGGCGCGTTTGAGGAGTTTGGCGACGTGATTGACAGTGAGTTCTTGGCGATTGTCCGGCAATGCGGGCGCGATTTCACTGAATTCTTCTTGTTTCCAGCGAAAGTCATGACCGATCCAGACACTGGTAGATCAAAGGGCTTTGGATTCGTCACATTCAAGCGGGAGGACGAAGCCAAGGAAGCGCTGGAATCCATGGATGGGAAGGTACTCTGCGGGCGAGTTCTTCGAATTCTTCGCTGAAATCTTTGATGGATCGTTTCCAGGACTTCGCCGGTCGCAGCATTCGCGTCGATTACGCCAAGACGCAGAAGGAAATGCAGCAAAACCCGCCGAGCTACCGGAACTTCCTCGACCTGCTCTCGGAGATTCCCAATACGAAGAGCATTGCGAGCTAAAAGAAAAGAAAGTTTAGGGTTCTTCGAGTTGATTATCTACTAATAACAAATGTGTGCTTAGTAGCAATCAGGGTTTAAGAGGTAAATATCTTAGCTAGGGTTTCTCTAAGCCCTTAAACCCTAGCCCTCGCATTTTCTATTGCGCTGCGCAGCGGCTATGGCGATGTCCTCTTCGATCGGGCGCGCCCTGAGGAAGGCCGCGAGCGCGCGCGCCTTGGCGCCGCAAACGAGCGCCGCCATGGCGGCCGCGAGCGTCTCCGTGCCGGTGATGCAGATTCTCAGCCGCTCCTATGCTTCCAAGCTTTTCATTGGCGGTAAGCTCACTTTCGGGGATTTGTTCGTTTTGGGTCTAATGGATCGTCCGCAGGCCTTGCTTGGGGCGTTGATGATGGAACCTTGAGGACCGCATTCGCGAACTACGGCGAAGTCACGGAAGGTACTCTTATCTTTTCTTGTTTGCCTGGTTTTTCATTTTCTTTTCTCTAGCATTGGGTTTGCTCTCTGGCATGGCTTTTTCTTTCTGTGTTCTTGCAATGTCCTCTCTAACAGTGTTCTCTCCGTCCCAGCGAGAGTTATAATGGATCGTGAGACTGGAAGGTCGAGAGGATTCGGCTTCGTTACCTTTGAGAACGACAACGAAGCGAAAGCAGCAGTCCAAGGAATGGACGGCCATGTAAGCTCGAAAAAATCTCTTTTTGGGAGCGGACCTTGCTAACTTGGTTGTCTTTTCATTTTCCAGGAGCTCGGCGGCCGTAGCATTCGCGTCGACTACGCCTCGGACAGGCCATCAGCTCCCAGACAAGACTTCGGCGGCGGTGGCTTCGGCGGTGGTGGCGGTGGCTATGGCGGTGGCGGTGGTGGTTTCGGTGGCGGTGGTGGTGCCTATGGCGGAGGCAACGAAGTAATGTGAGATCGAGAGAACACACAGGAACTGCCAATGCCTATTTAACATAAGAAAAAGAAAAGGAGGGCTTTTTGATAGGAGTGTGATAGAAAATTTGAGAACAATGTATTTGACTTCTATAAAGTTTTCGTGGAACATTTCAAAGCACCCAAGACTTCTGGTTGTCTCAAAATCTTTTTTTTAACCATTTGGGTGTCTCAAAATCGATTGCTTGGCCACGAGAGTTCCTCCACGAGATTTGGAAGGAACGCAAACGTGGAGAGTGAGTGGGCTTGGCTAGAAGTTAACGAGCGCCTACTTCCACCAGGATGAACTGTTCTTCCTGTCCTCGAGATACTGTAAGTACCACGCAAGAGCACCAAACGCAAAGAAGCAAATCCAAAACACCAGCAGCAGGACGTGGTATGGCCCCCGGAGCGTGTGCCTCAGTGACTGCTGGTAGCTGCTCTTGCGGCGGCTCCGCCCAACCGGTGGCCTCAACTGGAACGGCTTGTCGAGGCAGTGCTGCGTGAGCCTCTTGCCAGGAGCAAGCGGCCCAAACATTCTCGTTCGCTTCAAAGGGTTGGGCCTCGCCGGCCTGCTTAGCTCCAGCGATGGCGGAGGTGGGCTTGGTGATCCAGAGGTAGAAGCTGGAGCCGACGATGGTCTCCTCTGCGAGAGAAAGAGAGAAAATCTAGCGTTAGAACTCGATGAAGAGATATGAAAGCTTTGAGAACTTCTACGTACCCGCTTCGGCAAATCATCAGCCGTTCTTGGTGGCGAGCAGGAGCACCAGAGCGACCTCATTGTTTTTGTCACCTGGAGACAATGCCAAGCTACACACATGAAAATTCTCAGAGCTTGCCAAGCCGAAAGTCCGTAGAGTTTATGCTTACCATTCGCAGCCTTCCACGCTCGTGTCTAGACTGCCTCTCTACCAAAAGCGCCTCAGCCATCTTGACATAAAACTCTTTGGCTTGCTTCTGTCAAACAAAAACCACCAGAAACTCCTGTCATACTTCCATAGCCACTGTGCTTTGCTGTTTTCTCCAGCAAATATTTTTCTTTAGTTGGTTTTTTCCTCCTGTCAATGGCTTTCGTCCCTGCCCCTGGCTGGTCCTTTTCTTTTTCCCCCCGAGCCTATGCTAATACTCTACCACCACCAGATCGAGATTACTTGTTCTGTGCCAACCTCAAGGAAAAAAACTTGCATCCCGGCGAGTCATCTTCATCCTCGTCTTCGCAAAGGTCCTCCATATTGCTGGCACTCGGAGGGAAATCCGGGAACTTCCGCTCTATAAACTCGGGCTCCGAGTCCTGGACTTCCTCCATCATGCCCCTCCACAGCTCCATACTTCTGGTGTCGTTGACGATCTCCTCGCGAATAGCATCATACGTGCAGTAGTGATTCTCCAGGGAGCACTTCTGCCTTTCAATCTCCTCGTCAAACGAGTTAAACCTCGCAGCATTCCTCTCGATCAAGTCCGAGCTCAGCAAAAACGAGCCACCGCTACCAACGCCACCATTCTTTGCTTTGTTTCGACGGGTCTTCCAGAGCAAGGGTGGTCGCTTGAGTGGCTTTCTTGGGGAAACTTTCGCCGGCAGCTGTGGCTTTTCATCTTTGAGAGATGCTGGAGAGACCCCTTCGTACTGCTGAGAACTCTCAGGCCTCGCCTTTGGAAAATCGAACCAAGAAAGAAAAAAACCCGGATCAACCGTCTAGCCTTTGGGAATTCTCTGGTAGCTAAAAGTTCAGTGCTTCCTGCCCCATCTCTATCTAGTCTTTCCCTGGTTTTCGGAGAGAAGAGAGCTTACCCTGGGTGGAAGACCATCCGCCTTGTTCTCGGACAGCCACGAGATGAGATCATCGACCCTCATTCTCTGCAAATCCTGGAGCGACTGTGGGTCGTAGGTGGAGGACGAGGACGGCGAAGTGTGATCCGGCGCCATTCAGAAGCCCTAGCGCAGCTCGACCACCATTCCCGGAGCACGGGAAAGAATTCGAAAAGTTGCGCCTGTTGATGACGTGTAGACTAATTATGTTAAATTAGTCCTCATTGCAAGAAAGGGGTAAAGTGTGTTTACCCTAGTTTTCAAAGAAGTTATAGAAAGACGTTTGAAAAGAACCAATATCATGTCACCAGATTGAAAAACAAAAACACTACCTCTATATGAAAGAAGAGCCTGATTATAGCGGCTATTTGGAGATTGAGTGAGCTTGCGTTGAACAGATCTAAGGATGATGTCCTTAACAAGGGGACATGTCTGTGAGTAATAATCCTGAGAAAGTCCAAAAACAGACTCAACAATGAGCAAACTTAGAAGGTGAAGAAGATGAAAAGCAGCCAATCAATCCTCCCAAAATTTTAATTCAACGAGCTAGAGTCCCAAACGATGGGGCGTCCGGAATCATTTCAGCTTAAGAATACTGCAAGCGCTGCACTGCTTCCAATAAAATGTATGGCAGTGAGCTGGAAGCCCAGATATAGCCCAAGGAATGAAAATGATTCAAGACTATATAGTTTACTTCAAAAATGAAGCTACTGAGTCAAGGTTCACTTGAACAGACAATGTTCAAAAGAAATGTTCTGAGCCATAACTGCTATCCCCGGCCATCCTTGATGTTGTAGAAGATGTGGGGAGTCTGTGTTTTGATAGGAATTTTAATCCTATGGTTCAGACAAAGCCAAGCCATTGTTTCATGCCAAACAAGCATGCCTTTGCATTTCATATAGGTGTCTTTGTGCTACAAATCACCAGATACTGGTTGATATTGCCATCTGTTTGAGAAAATTAAGTCCAGAAACTGTTGACTCATGCAAGTCGGAGGAGAGTGTGGTAGTGTGAATGCCAACAGCTCCAACTGCTACAGTGAATACTGTAGCAATTGCGGCATTGAGCTGCTGGCCATTGCAAAACAGGCTGAGTCATTGTTGTCATTACGCTGGTCAATATCACCATCATGCATGGACGACTCGAGCCATAGAATTCTTCTCTGTGTCAATGACACTGAATGTAGAATTTGATGTTCTAAACTTGATAGAAATGCACTGTTATTGCACCAACTGAAATGAGGAAACCCATCTCTCAAGTGAGAAAAGTGCTCTTAAATTTTTGTTTCTCTATATATTGTTGATGCAATTTTTTTTAATAACTTATCATTTAATATTTTTCAGAAGGTTTTAAAGTTTCTTTAATTTGATTAGCCATTAATTCGGCTCACAATAGAGAATTGCCTAAAGTCCACTCACCAGAATTTGCTGATTGTTTAAATTTTATAAGTTGTACTTGCACTTATTAAAAGCTTTCCTTAACCTTAAACTAGCTTTGAATCATATAATACTTTAAAATATATATAAATAAATATATATACATATATATATATATATAAAATTTTTTAATAGAAATCTTCATAATGTTTTTAACAACTCGCGCGTGAATCTGGATTGATTAAATTCCAGGCTTTAGGGCTAGAGCATGGGCGGGCAAGCGCGGAACCGGCAGGAGCTGGAGAGGCACTGCTCTGGCGACAGTCATCCCGAAGTGCTCCTGCATGTCTACCTTGCCGGCGCTACTATCGGCTCCGGGTATGATCCAGTTGAATGCGTGCAACAAGCTTCCAACGGCCAGCATGACATTGGTAAGACCCAGCTGCATCCCCGGGCACATTCTGCGTCCTGCACCAAATGGTATCAGCTCAAAGTCCTGCCCTCGGGCATCGATGCCGACTTTCTCCTCCAGGAACCTCTCCGGCTTGAATCGGTGCGCCTCCTTCCACAGCGTCTCATCTCTTCCAATTGCATATGCATTTATGAAGACTCGCGTTCTTGCAGGAACACCCCATTTGGCGCTGATCATGCAGGCTTGGGCAGAGTTCTCGCGGGGATAAATTGGGACTGGCGGGTGTAGCCTAAGTGTTTCGTTGATAACTGCTTGGAGGTACGTGAGACTTCGGATATCCGACTCTTGCATGGTACGTTCTTGGCCTATCACTTCATCTAATTCGGCTTGTACCTTGGCCAGCGCAGCAGGATGATTCAGTAGCTCTGAAATTGCCCACTCCGATGTGATTGAGGCAGTGTCAGTGCTTGCCGCGAGCACGTCCTGCATCAAACAAAGCAAAGAATCTTAATGCTTGGGCTTTCCAGGCGGGGGTAGCTTTCGTTACCACTGTCATTGCTTTGATATTGGCGTCGTTCGCGTCGCTTTCCATTAGCATGACATCGATAAAGTCCTGCTGCTCCATGCTTGCTTGCGAGTTTCCCAATTTTTCTCGATGCCGATCAATTTCGCTCTGCAGGATCTTGTCAACACGCTTGTGCACAGAAACGAGCTTGTACACTTGCTTGTCGACCCACTTGAGCCACGGAAAGAAAGTTGCAATATGCATTCCAGTGCCTTCTCGAACGAATTCCGTGAGACCATCCTTAATGCTACGCGCTTGCTCCTCTTCATCTGTGCTGCTTGCGCTGCTGGAGTGGCTCTTGCCTGTGACCATCTTGAGCATTACGTTGAAGGCGAAGTCGGAGAGTTTGTTGGTCAAGTTCACAACAGCACCATCTTCAGCACATTTCCACAGGTCTGTAAGCAAAAGACCCATTTCCAATTTTCGATTTGGTTCAGCAGATTCAACTCTTTTTGTTGACAGCAGTTGCACTGTGCAGAGCTTCCTGGCTTGTCTCCAGTGCTCACCATACTGTGCAAAGATTATACCTCGTCCACCACAGCTAGCATATTTGGCCTCCAGATGCTCGGGCTTCATTGCAAACTCAGGATCGAGAGTCTTGAGAACAATTTTGGCAGCATCTGGTGAAGAGACAACAAGGGTGTTCAAGCTGCCAAGCTTAAGAAACATGAACTCTCCATACTTCTTGGACAGCTCTAGCATGGAGTGATGGGGAAGATCTCCTATCAAGTGAAGATGGCCAATGACAGGAAGAGCCGGCGGAGATGGGGGAAGGCTGAAGTGCTGCTTACTTCTTGAAAAACGATTCAGGATGAAGCAGAAGAGGGAAACAATGAAGGCGACCAAAGGCAATTCAAGCAGTAAGGAATCCATTGAGCACGGTCGATACTGCTGTTGTTGGTGCAGGAAAAAAGCATATTTAAACAAACAAGAGAGGGAAGGTCGACTCACAGCATCTACTGTAGTACTGTAGTTGTTGGCTCACTCTTGACTTTGTGAAGCCCAAACATGCTCCAGCCGTTGTCAGATGTTATAGTCAAGGCAAAGTCAAGCGGCAGCTGAAAACCAAAAATTTATTATTTATTTATTAATCTGCATGAAGGTTCTGATATGAAATTTTAAAGTAATTTAAAATGGAGGACAACTTGGTAAAAATGAAGACAACCTGGTGACCAAGAACTAAAAACAATCTCCAAGGACAACCGAGGTCAACCGAGGTCAATTGAATACAACCAAATGCAAATGCAAATGAAACCATATGGTAGCTTGAAAATTGGCTCAGAGAAATCAAGTTTTAAAATATTCACAGGCATCCCGTGGCCATGCAATGAAATGTTTCATGGCATACATTGCTTGGGTGGGGGCAGGGAAGGTGATTTGCTTACCAACAACAAACAATGATGGGTGGGCTAAGACTTACAATGCCGGTGACGATGAGAGAGGGTGGGTGGGCAGTAGTAGGGCAACAGTAGGCTGCGACTCACACTGCCAAGGGATTGGGTATGGGTGAGAATGTTTAATTGCATACATGCATAAAACTTGCTTGGCTAGGAACTAGCGCGAATGAAATGGGTAGACAGGGAAGAAAGAAGAGGCAAACAGTCCCAGACATTGAAGAGCCACTATCTCTATGTGAATGTAGTGGGAATTCAAGGAGCCTCAACTGTGAAGCAGCATACATACATAATTAGTTTCCTTTATTTCTCAAAGGTTAAGCTCTGACAAAAATAATGAGAACACATGAACATATAGAGTAACACGAAAGTGCAAAGCACTACAGTTCAGTCTGTTGTCCCAGTCACAAGCCAAGGACCTCCAGGCTGAAAGAATTAAGTGCTTCATCCGACAAGCAACAGAAGCCCCAATCTACTTAGCATACTTTTAAACACCGAATAGAATACCCAATTGCGGCCTACTGTCAATGCAGGTAGTGCTAAGGACAGACTCAATGTCTCCAGACCAAACACATAGCGCCAAGAAGTCAAGAAACAGAATAAAAGATGATCGAAGCAAGCATCAAAAGCATCTAAACTCAAAACAGTAGCGATTTGAAACCAAGCGAAACTATCTTCTTACCATCATCATAGAGAAATAGATGGAAACTGACCAATTCAAACACATCAAGTCACCACCAACAAAGAGTTGCACAATAGAAAGTGGTCTAGCCCCTGGCTCAAGTTCCAGGCATGTAAATAACAAAATCATTCGTGCAGCGACCAGCAGAAATTAATCCGAGAAACATGGAGAAGAAAAGTGGAAAACGAAGTGAACTTAAACATAACCAAAAGACCTTATTTGCAGTACTGGCAAAACCTTTCATGCAGTCAACCATATATCAAGCAGCCAAATTAAATACACAGCCTCCCAACAACTACAAAATGCACCTCTTTAAATGAATACCATTGATAGGATTTGGTAACCTTTTTCCCAAAATGTGGTACGAATTAGTACCTGCATTAGCCAACACCTGGAATGGGCCAAGCGACTTCTAGTCTTGCACGATGAAGACTCCAGGAACAACAGCGACTCATGTTGGGGTATGATGCATTGTTGCCTCATGGCATCCAGCAGTACTTTCTCTTCTTTGCTGCGTTTCCAGAAGACTGGGCAATTAGGTAGTGAGACTGGTCAAAAGATAAAGTATAAATTTTGGGATCTATTCAGGTGTTAGAAAGGGGAGGGGCTGGTTGCCAACACAGCAGAGGCCCTGAATGTTCTGGAAACACGCACTTATCACCATATTTTTATCCAGTTGAATGGTGGATGGAGAGTAAGGTTTACAGGATTCATGATGCGTTGTTGGCTCTTGCTTTG